TCGTCGATCAGGCCGGTCATCTGATCGCGTAAGAATTAATTAAATCCCGGCGGAAGTGTGCTCGACCGCGGCGCGTGTATAAATAGGCGCGAGACGCCGCCAGAGGGAAATCGGAATTGGCTTGACCGAAATAGAAGCGGCGATTTATGCATGGAAATTTTTACGAATCTTCTACCGATTTGATGTGACATAGAGATATAGTTATTCGCATCGTTGATATCGTAGATATGATGTAGTGTCACTCTTGTTAACAGTGTGTCGAAAATCATTCTTCGAGTATTCTAATCATTCTTTCAGTACTTTTTCTAATCGTGTTCTTCTTTTATATTGGAATGTAACAGTGTTGTAGTGTAAATATTGACTAGTTTGGCATGCACTTGATTGCCTCGTGTTACATTTCGTTTAATAAATCACTCTTGTATGATTTAACATTGTATTGAAAATAATTCAGCACTTTGTACAAAAATTGGGTTCGTTTTTTCATATTTAAAAGTAGCAGTGTTGTAGTGTAAATATTTACTGGTTGTCAAGTTTCGCATGTACTTCATTGTCTCGTGTTACCATTTTGTTTAATAAACAATTCTTCGATGGTATATCAATATTTGAACAGTGTAACGAAACTAATTCAGTATTTTTCACAAAAATTGTCTTTTTATATTGAAAAGATAGTAGTGTTATAGTGTAAATATTGACTGGTTGTCAAGTTTCGCATGTGCTTTATTTTCTTTGAAAAATCATTCTTGCATGGGATATTGAAAAGTACTTCTACGGTGTTCTAAAAATTTCATGTCAAAATGAAATTAAAATCTCGTTAGAATACATTACTGTGTATGTGCAAACGCTTTTTAAAAATATTTTATAAAAGGATACTATTTCTGGTTGGTAATAGAAAGTCATCGTAAATGTACTGTTAATGCAACGTAGATTGTTCAAACAGCTACTTACTGCCGTGAACAGGTAGAAAACTAAGCAAACTGTCCGAATTGCACGAGCAATTAAGAGACTAAATATTCACAACAAGGATAAAGATATAGTACGAAAGTTTAGAACTATACGTATGTATGTGTATCTCCGGGGTTAGATGTGATAGTTTAGTGACAACGTAACAAAGCTTTTAACACTTTGACTGCTATGTCATTCATATTTGGATAACTTATCTTATATCTGCAAGAGTGCCATAATTCACAGATTGGTGATAGTTCTGTTTTCTTGACTAAAATTAAATATAATTCTTCTTTACCTTTCAACGTCAGACTTTCGAAGATTCACGTGTGGAATTGTTTCAGCAGTTAAAGCATCAGGTAGTCAGTCGAATTCCACAAAAAGAAAATCATTCTTCTCCTTGATTCCATATTTCACGAGTTGTCGATAGATTTACGTAGATAGGTACATACACCCCCCGTTCATACGTATTATGACACTAATTGAATGTGAAAGAAAATTATTAAGATCCTGAAGAAAATGATTCCGCCTGGAATTTTAGCGTGTCACTGATTACACCGAACATTGTCACGAAATTGAATTTGGTTTAGCTTTCTTGGTTAGCTATCAATTCAGAAAAATTCGTGGTATCGTCGTTACGCGAAAACCATTGCAAATTTAAAAAATCTGTGAAAACAACGAAACTTTGTCTTCTTCTATTTCTCTCACCCTGTATATTTTTACTAATACGTCCTAATATTAGGTCATCCCATAAGTTCGTGCCGGAAGCGACAGATATTTGATAAAAAATCCAAGGAAATTCTACAGCGACGACGTAATGGTTTTACCGAAAAAGAAAGTAGACGAAAATTGTGGAACGAGAAGGCGCTTGCGTTATTTTTTTCTTTCTATTAAATTAAAAATTTTAAAAAGTTGCAAATTTAAACATTGATCTGAATTATAAAATTCGACGCGAACTTACGGGATAACCCGATACGAACAGCAGTGTGTACACATACTTGGTAGCACTCTGCATTCGGTTATGCATGGCAACCGCCACGAGGTCCTCCTTTTCCCTCCATCGCGAATTCGCTCGTCAAAGGTTGCTGCCGTGAAACGTATTAAACGTTGACTCAGCAACGAGTCATTTGAACCTGAATTAAGCGTCACGTGGAATTGATAAACGGAGGTCGAGACTCCGAAAGCAGCTGCGGAAAGTACGTTTTTCTTTTTCACTATCCGCCTATTGTGTTTTACCGATTCGTTGGCATTTTTTTCCCGCCACCGTTTTCGTTTCTTCGGTATGTGCCCCGCCGGTTGGTTACTTTCCATCGTTGCCCAATCGCGCGGGCATTGTACGGAATCGCGAGGATATTTCTGTTTTTCGTGGCAGAAATTGGATCTCTGTTGGTGCGGCTCGAGAAGAAGGATAGTGCGTGAATCTTCTCTGTTAGCGGCGATTTTCGTGGTTTTGACCGACTTTCGCGGGAGTATGGCCGCGTTAAAATAGACGAATTCGTCATCGGTAGAAACGGCGTGGAAGTATTTAAGACGGAAATGGGACAATTATCTCGAACTTCGTACCAATGAAATGCCTCTGATGATTATTCGAGATCGTATCGTGGAATTAATGTTAATGCTTGCTGTGACCTAAAGAAATTAATTTGCGATCGTCGAGCGTTGCAGGAAACTGTGTAGGAGGAACGAGAACACGCGCCAATTTATGCCTTTTTTTTTTTTTCTTTTTTCTTCTCCTTTCTAATTCGGTGCAATTAAACGGCCGCGCGTTTATTTCTTACACATCGACTACTTACCAATTGTTTTGCAATAACAGTACGATTAACCGCCCTCGGTGTTTTTCCGTAAAATCTGCCGCGGCAGGTATCTTTCGTTGAAATAAATCTACTTGAGTCATCGAACGCGACATTTTTTTCGGCTATTTTTCCATTAACAAGATAGGGGAACTCCTGAATCTGTTACGATAAACTTGTCGTTTATCTATTTTTTTTTTTATCGCGACATCGCGCGCGTGTGTGCGCGCCTGGTCATGTAACAGTAGGCGAGTGTTCTAGGAATGACACTTGAAAGAACCGCCATTTTCTTTGGAGATATCAACGATCGATAGGCGGCTAAGTTCGAAACGTGATCGACTATGTTGCCACTGAAGAAACGGGAAAAAAGGGAAGAATTGATTCGAGAAAATGAGAAATACAAATGGAACGAAACAAAGTGAAAGCGTTATGCAATGTTTGCAAACAGCTCTTCGCGATTGCGAATTTCTGCTTTTAATTGTATCGCGTTATACATCACGAGATCTTCGATACCGGGTTTAATCCACTCTGAATTACTGTTTACTTTGTTATCTTCGCAGGATTATGTGTTTAAGGAGGATTTTTGAGGGAATTGTTTTCACAGGTAACTACTGAACGAAAAGTTTCAATTTTTTTCAGATGATACGAATGTAACTTTGAGCTCTTTTCACCAATTTTTCGTTTCAAGGATCGAAACGTCTGAAATAAAAAATTCTTTTCGATTTATAAATAAAAATGTATTATATACAAAGTAGCTGACGATTTTTTCGATATCTCAACTATTTAATTTTTTAGAAACGTTTAAAGTTGATTTTTTTTTTTTTTTTTTTTGGCGAAAAAAATGTTTTCCTCTTCAAACTGCTACGATAATTGGAATTTTTGAAAAATCCTACGCCACATTGCAGATGATACATTTTTATTTACAAATCAGAAAGAATTTCTTATGTCAGACGTTCCAATCCCTGCCAGCGATAGCGGAAAGCAATCGATGTTCTAGCAGGAGGTTTCGCAACTAGCGAATAACTCCTCCCTTACGTAACATTTTAACTTTTCAAAAATTTGCGGAAAAAGTCGAAAGTTGCGTTTACATTCTCCGAAAAAATGGAAACTTTTCGTCTAGTAGTTACCTAAGTAACAAAATTCCCAAAGTTTGCCCTGTTTCTCGACGCCTCAGGGGCGGCGGTGTGAGTACTTCCTTGAGGCGCCGACGAAGCGTTTTTTCGCGAAGAAATTCTACCGTGCAATCGAAGATAAGTTTTCTCAAGAGCAGCTGAACGCTGTGAAAAAATACGGAAGATGGTGATTGTCGTAGGTAAAGATATGCGGAACGACGTACGCAACGCTTGTTATCAAGGTTCCAGCGATAAAAAGGCGCAACGAATCGGAGCCGATTCCCTGCCATAATGTTTACTTTCTAATCTCGCGAAATCAGCATGCTCCTGCCGCGTCGTTCCGCATTTTTGTCACGCGAGCGTGTCTGAATTCTGTCGTGAGATTTAATGTTTATCTCGATCACTTGGGGCGCCGTGATTCGAGAGCAATCGCACGTGATAGTATTGTTGCTTCTTCCTTAAATTGCGGCATTTTTTGCCTTTACCTGGTAGGTGTAACGTTTAATGAAATCACAATTTTTTGTTGTTTTTTAATCTTTAGGAAGAGTGAAAAATTGATAGAATATTTGAAACTATACTCTGAAGTTATTTACGTATTCTGCAATTGGAGAATTCATTTTTTTCGTGGGATATAGGTATGGAATTTGGGTAGAGAACCTGTTGGAAATATTTATTCAATTCTTGCCGTACATTGTGAAATAATACAATATATTTTTAGACACTTTTCGCAATAAGAAACTGTAATTGTTTATTATTTCACTTTCTTTCGATTTGGCACGCCTTACCAGAGATTGTACTAAAGTATAACTACTCTTGGATCTTTAAATATTTGCTTTACAGTCTTGGTCGTTTAAAGAATCTGTTTTTTCAGAAAGTGCCTAAAGAACATTTTACCAAGCAATCCGGTATTCCTCCAAACACATAAATCCAACGTCCTCGAGCCGGTGTTCTTCGTA